CAGAGTGTTCCATGCATTTGAAGTGCAAAGCAGTGACTCGGTGCCTAAAAATAGAAACAGGGGCCAAGCGCTAGGCCCTCGGGTTTGAAAATCTTGGCCTTAATGTCTCAGTGAAACAGATGGAGGCTGTTCTCCTTCTGTCAGATAGTCCCAGACACATGCAATGGGATGAGCCCTCCCTGTGCCTACACAGCAAAAGAGAGCTTCCAACAGGCGGAGTCCATCCGTCTGCTGCCAGGGTGAAATTCCACCCTGAGCTGCACAATCGGGCTAGCAAGAACTTAGCAAATGTACAGGATGCCATTGCAAAACCAGCTGTAGGCCAACTGTTGCGATTATGTGCAATATCATGCCAGTCTCCGCTATCCCTCCATTTCCAGCCCTTGGATTTCTCTGGTCTCCCCTTAGAGGCTTTAGGCACAACATCTGAGACCCTCTCTGTCCATGACAGTCCAGAACATTCCTCTGGATGTGTTAGCTTTGCCTCTCACTTGTCATACAAAGAGCTGTTCCCAGCAGTTCCCAGTCAGTGCTCTGGAACTGTTGTATCTACCCATGCCTGCTGGGATTCTGGTACTGTGAGCTCTCTTCCAACAGTGCTCCAAGTGCCTGGCTGGGATGCTGGTGCTTTCCCTTGTCCGTTTCTGGTGCCTGCTCCTGCCTCTGCCCCCTTTCCCTGTATGTGGGGATCTCTCTAACCCCCGCTCTCTTTGTGTCTCCCTTGTTCCAGTGCCCTGATGGAGAGTCTCATTAACCCTCTGCAGGACAGGATTGAAGACTGGAAGAAAACTGCCAACCAGCTGGACAAGGACCATGCAAAAGGTACAGACCAGGAGAGGGATGGGTGTGCTGTCCCCTGAGGCTGGGGGACTTGCTGAATTGTGAGATGTCATGTGCAGTCAAAAAGGGATGCTATATCCAGGGAAGGAGAGGAGGAGTAGGGACATGGTATCCCCAGGAGTAGGGACAGCCTCAAGGGGAAGAGTCTGGGTGGAGCTGTATCCAGGGGAGGGGAGATGCTGTTTCTTGGGGCTAGTGGTGCCAATTTCTCAGGGAGCAGAGGAAGATTAGGAGGGGAAGGCCATGAGCACATGAGCAGCATGAAGGAAGTGTCTTGAGTCCTGGGCGTAGGGAGTTTGCAGTCTCTCTGAAAAGGATGAGGGAGTGCTTACCATACCCAGTGGGAGAGGTGGTAAGGGATATACCATAGTAGCATTGAGGCCTTGTGGCTGAGGAGAGCACAGCAAGGAGGAAGGGTGGGAGGAGAGACAATCTAGACCCTGTGATATGGGGCAGGAGGGGTACAACATGGCATAGGGGAGTGGGGATGTGGCATCTTTCATGATTCATCCTGTGCCCCCAGAATATAAGCGTGCCCGCCATGAGATAAAGAAGAAATCCTCTGACACGCTCAAGCTGCAGAAGAAAGCCCGCAAAGGTAAGAGCCTTGCCAGGCCCTGGCTATGCTCTGAGGGGGAAGGGGATCTGTCCCCCTTTGAGCTGGGGTCAGGACTGGTTTCACACCCTGGGAACCCCTCAGCCCTGCAGAGAATGGTGGGGTGGTTCATTATGCTTTTGAGATGGGGCATTAACTGATGGCTCCTTAATGAAAAAGAGTCTGGGCCACAGTGTGGCCCCTCAGCCCAGAGGCAGCCCAGTGATCTGTTGAGGGTAGGGGCTTAGCGTTGGCTCAAAGAGTTCTTCAGCTTGGCCACAATACTGCTCATGTCTGACCACTCCCTACACCCCCCAGGCTCCTTCCCGTCTAGGGATTTTATGGTGTACACTGCTAAGCAGCTAGCCTGCTTTATCTCAGAGCTGGCTGGATCAGTAGTGGTGGGCATGCTAACTTCTGTTATAGCTCACAGGTCAGCTAGGCAGCATCACTAAATCATGGTGTAGTGAAGGGAAAGGCTATGCTATTGTTACTAGCCTTCTTGAAGGCAGAGGGTCAGCAGACAGTCCAGTTTTTCACATCTGAGCATTAGGAAGGAGCTAGTGCCTTTAATTCTCATGGTGAATCACATCTTTTGGGGGGGGTGCAATGGGTGAGTAAGCTTACTACATTCGTGGTGCCTGACAGCTGTGACCTTAGGGTCCCTCTGTCCTTTGGGTCCAGTTAGAAGAATTCTGCTACTGATATACATATCTCATGGAGCAGTCTCCAGGAAACAGGAAACTTTGTTTTCAAGTTGAATCTCCTCAACTTTGACCCTCCCCCGACCCTGTAGTGGGGAATTACGACTGGCACCATCAGTGCTGGGAGTGGGGATTGAAGTAGTATTGACAGGCACTGATGTGAGAAGCCCATGCCATGGTAGCCCCAGCTGGGTGTTAACAGGGGCCTGCAGGGAAGATGTTGTCAGGTGAGCAGTACCCAACTCAGTGCAGCGTCCCAAAGCTGCTGGCGGGTTATGTGCATGGGTCTGGCACAATGGGGTGCTAATCCCCAGCTGAGACTTGTGACCAAAACAGCAATAATTGGATAAAGAAGTGCCTGTAAAATTCCCTCTTCAAGCAGAAAGAGCCCAGCCCACTTCTTGCAGGTAATCCCTCCTCCTGACTGCTACCAGGCAAGGGGGTGAAGAGCACAGAGGTGGCACTATTACTGCTGTTGGTGAGCCATAGAACCCATCACAGGAGGAGCAAGCAGTTAGATCTGTGATCAAATGCCCCACAAGCAGGAGAGTGGTCTGTCATTCACAGGGCTCGCTGTGATGTCCAAGCCCAGGCTGGGAGCAGCACAGAGAGGGAATTAGAGTCTGTGGGGAGGAGGGGCTGATTTGCCAGCTGGGCCTGGTGGGATGGGTGGGGCAGAGGCCCCCAGTCTTAATGTGATGACTCTCTGTACATCAGCCTGTCTTTCACACATTCTCTTTTCTCTCTCTTTTTCTCTGTCTTCCTCTCTCTTCTCTTTCCTCCCTTCCACATCCTTCCTGTAGAGCTACTTGGTAAGTCAAGCGTCAACCCAGCTTCCTCCAGCCCTCTCCCTGCAAACCCTCCACTCTCACCCCTTCACTAGTATCTGTGCTGTATTTATCTGTGTTCCCCCCTTCAGCAGAGCTTGAAATGAAACAAGCCCCTAAGACTTACAGTGTTCCAGACAGTTGCTGTCTTGTATCAGGCTGGCTAGGATGGCCTGCTCTTGCCCACCTGGCTGAGCCACAACACAGGCATTTTGTGGGGGGGCAGTCATGGAAACCCAAGGCAAACCAGCTTTGCCCTATTGGGGCTTAGAGGTAGGGGTCACTCCAGAAAGGGAGAAGCAGCTGCTTCACAATGTGCTCATCCACTCTTGTCCCTCCTAGATGGGTTCTCTGTCCCCTCTATATTATAGTGCCATAGTGCCATGGTCATCACAGGTGGGCAGGTTTTGGGACCTGAGGCTGGGGGGACCTTGGGAAGACTGCTTCTAACCCTCTCCTCCCCACCCCACAGGGGAGCAGGAAAGGAATGCCCCATCCATAAGCAGGGGAGAGGCAGCCTTCTGAGATAGGGAGATCACGTCACACCCCCAGCAATTGGAGCCACTGTGTTTGATACTATATTGTCTGCAGGCCCTTCCCTGTCTCTAAGATGAGTCCATTATCAAGACAGACACCCCTAGTGCATTTGAGACCCAGAAGACATGGGCACCCCATGGAGTGTCAAACCCCAGCCCCCACAAGTCTAGCAACCTGGGTTTCATTTCAAGCCCTCCCTTCCCCTCCATTCTCTCTCTCCCCCCATGTTCCTGCAGGGTTTGCATGTCTTAAGCTACATGGTGAATGCTGAGATCCCTTCACTGAGGAAGCCCCACTCTGCCTTAGCAAGTGGCACATTTCCTGCCCCACTGATCATAGGGAAGCCATTTTAAAATGGGGTCAGGAGCTTAAAGGACATCTCCCTTTTTCCTGCAGTTCTGTCTTCATCTTCAGCAGCTGCTATTCATCAAAAAGGTTACCAGGGCTCCTTGCCCCACTTCACCCTACCTGGATATTTGATGTCAAAGGAATAAGTTTTTCCCTTAGGAACAAATAAGAAACAGCCTTTCAGACACCACCTGGCCTCAGTGTGGTTGCCCCAGCAGGACTGTGGAGTGCGGTTCCAGCCCCTCTCAACTGAAGAAGCAGGCCATTTCTGTGGGTCAGAAACACCCAAGACAACCCTCTGCACGAGGCTGCTGTTAAGGGGATCCCCATTTCAAACTGCCCAGACCAGACCTGTGTGCCCATGACTAGGAAGCAGGTGCTAGCCCATGGCAACCCTCCTCCCCACTCTGAATCTGGAACCCACCCTTTGGAGCAGGCATGTTTAGGTTCTGGGAGTTTGGTGTGGCCCGCTTTAGAGGACACATGGGACATTCAGCCTGGGATCTATGCCTGGATTCTGAACTATCACAAACTTGTTGTCTGTCACTCCTGTGAGCCTGGTATTTTCATTGTGTCTGCCCACTGAGCAGAGCTGATGTCCCCCTCTGTTGCTGTGAGATCTCAGCATTCACCTGCTGTCTTGTGAGGCATCTCTAGCCAAGCCACCTGGCTGCCCTCTTGATTGTTTCATCCTAGGAATCCATCGTGTCACCATCTTTCTCCTCCCTTTCCCCCACATCCTTGTCACCCACCAGGCCTCTCGGTTGTCTGGCTTTGCCTTCTCTTGCATGTGGAGTTGTGGTGGTGGGAGGTTTGTTGGAATTCACTGGAGCTTGTATCTTTATGGCCTAAGGCAGAGGTGCCCAAAGCAGTGCCATTAGCCCTTTCTTATTGAACAGTGATGATGGGCAACCATGTGGACTGCAGAACCCTAGATCCAGGGCTCAGCCTAGGTTTCTTGGATACAGCTTGAGCATTGCATGCTGGGATTTGTAGTCCTCATGGGATGCCCTTCCATACTGAACATGTCAGCAGTGGCCATTTGCTCTGTTTCATTAAGGCTACCATGTGGCCCCTCAGCTGGGCAGACTTTGTGGAAACCTCTGACCTAAGCGCTTGCTTCTTGGCCTCTGCTTTGCTTTCTGTGTCTGTACATGTGTGTGTAATGTTCCTGCCCTCAGGTAACACCTTTGAATTTCTGCTCCCATTGCATGTGTCACACTCTAGCTCCCTCTGATAAACTGACTCACTCAAACCCTCTGAGCTGTACACACCCTGCCAGCTTGTGCCCTTATCCAGCTACAAGAGGCAGTAGTAACCTCTTGAACCAAATTCATCCTCAGTGTAACTCCATGGGCCTCAGTGGAGCTGCCCCAGGGATGAATTTAAATGCGTGTTTATAAATGGGTCTGGCAAAGGCAGCTACTACCAGGTGAGTATGAAACTTCCATGGACTTGGGAGGAGCAGGGAGAAGACCTGTTCCTTTCAGCCCATGTCTTGACCTTGCCCACTCTAAAGAGCCAGCATGCCTCATGGAGGTTGACACTGGATTGGGTGCAATACCCAACTGGGCTGACCAGGGCTCTGTCCATCTTGAATCAAAATCACTCAGTGGTTGGGCAGGAGCAGAAGACTCCAAAGGCACAGCCTGAAATGATACTTTCCTGCAATCCTTTCCCACAGCTGTTGCTGCTGTGAAAACCAAAGTAGAAAGGAGTCAGTGAAGAGGCACATGGAGGTTGGAGGTCTTGGAACCCTGTTGCACAGAGGCATTGTTTGCCCCCATCTCCTGGGCTCCTTCATAGCCCTGTAGCTCTGAACATCGTCCAAAATACAGCTCCACTGAGTCCTGTTTTATATGTCATGCTGGGCGGGTGGCTCATGATGAGCTAACCTACCACCATATGCTCTCCATGTCCTGCCTCCTGGGACCCTGGGGTGGGGAGGGGAGAGGGGGAATCCTGAACAAAAGCCAGCCTTTGGCTTTTATTCCACAATAACTCCCCCATTGAAATAATGTTAGATTCAGAGTCTTGTAGCCTTTTCCCACACAGGGCCCTCAGTTTGGGTCTTCAGCATGCTGGGACCTATGATGGAGGAATGAATGGGGTTTGCCTGAAAGGGCTTTCCTCAGCAGGA